GTGACTGGGAAAGGGGGCGGCTGCGGGGCGGGGGGCAGAGGAGGCCCGGGAATCCGCCTGTCACTGCGGGAAAAAATGGGGAATCCTGCCTGCAGCGCAGCTTTCCTGGCCTCTCTCAGGAGGGACACGTGCGGGGGAAGGGGGGTCCGGGAAGAGCAGGAAGAGCACATTTGTAGCGGGAACCCAGGCACCGCTTGGAAATAAAAGATGAAAGACGGTTTATCCCTGTCGTTGGTAAAAATAATATCGAAGTCCATTGCTGCCGATGTCCAACTGTTGCAGCTATGCATGCACACACACACACACACACACACACACACACACACACACACACACACACATACACACGTTCACATGTACACTCATCCAGCAGCCTGCGATCCCTTGGGTGAATTAGGAGCAAAGAACGACTAGCCTGAGGATTCCTTACACAGCAGCTGGATGCATGCAAACGGCTGTTGCAGCAGCGGCAGCAGCAGCAACCCACAGCTCGGCTTTGGTCCAATGCTCCGCCACACAAGATTCTCCAGCTGGCATGAAAGCAATGAAGTCATCGCCCAACCAGTAGAAACGTAAAGATCTTAATACCTACCATGGATCAGGTTTCCAATGAGGATAAAGAGGTGATGAAATGGAAGGAGAGATTTCCAGTACCACTTTTTGAAAACTGAGAATAAAAATAAATTTTTTAAAGCTATTGCAGACAAATCTATGCAAAACTGCATGATTTCCACTTACAGAAGCAAAGAGGAAAATTTTTTTTTTCTGGATTTTTTTTTTTCAGAAAAACACAGGAGAAAAAGAAAAGAACAGAAAATAAGCAGTGTATGAGGTCATAGCAGCCACCAAATTAGAAATATGCAGTACTGAACTGCAATGGGAAATAGATATCTTAGATAAAATTAACTTAATCTGTTCCTGTGGTGAATCTGGTAACAATATGTAACAATATTCTGGATTTGGCTTCTCTGTGCCAAGCCAATAGGATTTTCTTTTTCATAACATGGCGAACATTGAGTGAGGAAATAAAGGTGCCTGCTTTCTCTTCAGCTTTTCAGGAAGCATATTAGAAATTTTTACAGGTAGGAATAGTGAATTAGCAGTCAGGGAAAATGGAGTCAGAGGCAATAGCAGAGCTTTGCAAAGTCTCCTGCCTCCTCCAGATGCAAAGTAACAGTGCTATGACCTCAACCTTCCCCTACCTGGAGGCAGAATTCCTGGGGCGGTTGCTCCATTTTCATCCCTGTATATTAAATGAAGAATGGTTTATCTGTATAGAATCAGAACAAGATAAGGAAAAACCAGTAACTGAATATCCTTTGATATAGGTCCAATTTAGTTTAAGTGGTAATATTAGATGCTTTATAATGTGCCATCCTAGATATGCAAATATGACCTTCAACTTAGGGACATTTGCTTTGATTTGGTTTTGAGTACTAGTGAAAGGTTTATTGGAGCCAGCCACATCCAGGTCAGATAATTGCCATTTTGATCAAAAGTATATCTTTTCTAGAAGGTTAGTAAGAGTTAAATACCATGCTGCCATTTAACTGAGCTCTTATGTAGAAGGAACACTAATACCACTGAATGAATGCCTGCTATGTGCCAAGAATGTTACATACATTTAGAGTTGCCAGATAAAATACAGGAGGCCCATTAAATTTGAATTTCAGAGAAACAACGAATAATTTTTTTTAGTATAAGTATTTTTATCCTGGATACATGTGAGAGAAGGGTAGAAGATTAAATAAGCTTTCTAATCATCGTCAAAAACAAAACATTTTTGAAATGCCCCTCTGGGTCCAGATCTCATAATACAATCAGAATCTGGGAGAAAAGCTTACAAACCAAATTAATGTGTAAATTTATAGTGTTCGTAAAAAGAAGTACACATACTTATACTAAAAAATTATTTGCTATTTATCCGAAATTCAAATTTCACTGGGCATTCTCTATTTTTAAATGCTAAATCTGGCAACCGTACATATATTATTGCTGAGTGTCATGGTTTCCTGCAAGATTCTGTTAGGTCACCATTTTCCACATGAAGAAACAGCTTCAGAGCCTCCCCAGCATCTATTTGCGCCTTCCTTCTTCTGATAGAACCCTATTTGTGTTCAGATATTCACACTTTCAGGGTGGTGGGTACCGATTAGTCTTAGTTAATCAATGTGTGGTCCAATAAAACTAAAAGAAAGGATTTAACATCCTGTGGTTTGAGAGAGAAGTTTTCCCTGTCTATCCTGTCAGATGAATGAGGAAGCAAATATCCCGGTTGCCCCTGGCCGCCATTTTGTGACTAGGAGGAAAACCAGTCTTAGGTCAACACCTATACACTAAATAAGGCAGAGCTGAAAAATAGAAAGATAAAACAAAGAAATCTGGGTGCTTGATGACGCCTCTGAGTTGCTTAAACAAATTCTGCCTTTTCCTTGCTTTCGAAACAGTTTGAGTCAGAGTTTCTATTAGATGCCACAGAAGTATTCTACTACAGATGTCAGAGTCAGAGCCCATGCATGCTACGCATTATGGGTCTCAATAATAAATAAACAAGTGGTCATCAAGATGTCAGACATTTTTATCCTGGATATATGTGAGACAAATCTAGAAGACTAAATAAACCTTCTAATCATTGTCAAAAAGCATTTATAAAATAAATGCCCATCTGGGCCTAGACCTCGAAATACAATCAAGATCTAGGAGAAAAGCTTAAGAGTCAAATCGTTGCGTGAATTTCTAGTGTTTTAGAAAGAGGTGAGCATTAGTTATTCCTTGGCCCTGCTCAGAGCTTAAATCAGACTGTCAGATCTTACATGTTTTCATTTAAAGTTCATACCATTTGGGAAAATGTCATTTGAGAAATGTGAGTCCAGTACCTCATTTTTAACTATTAAAACCTCTATCTTCGTCCTGTAGTCACTAAGTTTAACCACAAACAGTGTAGAGAACAGAAATGTCAGCCTCAAAAGACCCAAAAGGGAAAACCACACCAGAATAGAATGAAAGTGGATGGTTGGCAAAGCAGTATAGCTTAGTGGCTAAAACTATAGACTCGAGATCCAGATCACCTGCATTCAAATGTCAGCTCTAGTTTTGTCCTTGGGAAAATTGTTCAACTTCTCCTCTGTAAAATGGGGATGATGATGATAATAATAGCACTCACTTCATAGGTCTAGACCAGTTACTATTTGTGAAATGCTTAGCAGAGTACCTGGCCCACAGTGAGGACTTTGTAAGGATTAGCCGTTACTGAGCAGGCCCGATTTCATGGCCTATAAACTTGAAGCAGTTTATTTTTCTTCAATCACTACTTTGAACCATTTTTTTATGGGAAATTTCCCTTTTGTGTCCCTTAACACCTTGGACAGTTTTAACAACTTTTGGGTCTTTTTCAGCTATTAAAAATCAATCCAGTTTAAAAATTAAATGTTATATTTGATTTATATCTTGTCCTCTCCCACTACCACCCTTCCCACCATCATCGCCTGCCAGGCTTGTAACTCAAGGCACCCAAAGTGACCAGGGAGTATGGTTGGCCTTGTCATTTCTACTCCAGGGCCTTGGAGGGTGTGGTCAGTGTTCTCACCAAACCTAACTCCTCTGACCGCAGTGGTTCATGGGAGGTAGAGAGGAGGAACCATCAGCTCTTTTCTTAACAACTCCCTCATTCCCACCCACTTCTCCTCACCCCCTATCTTGGCTGTAGTTGACCTCTATATAAAGGGCATCCGAATGACAGTTCCCTTCCCCAGAGCCACCACCCACAACCTCCAGCTGTTGATGTCACTTCCCTGACAGAAGCTTACCTAAGTGAGGGCAACAGGAAGAAAATCTCTCTCAAAATACTATCACCCATGTGTCAACAATATAAAGAAAACAAGCCAGAATTTCCCAAGATCAACTCAATGAAGTTAGAGCTCCAATAACTCAAAGAACCACTCCAGCACCCTGAAAGAATGTTTCCATGTTTACTGCCTTGGTCTGAATAATGGTTTCAATGGTTTGAATACTGTGTGATCTTGGGTAAGTTACTCCCTCTGTGTCTCAGTCTCCTCATTTGTAGTAGGGAAATAAATAATGACAGGTTATGAAGAGTAATATAGGGTTAGATGAGTTAGTACATGTAAAGTGCTTAAGGCAATCCTGGCACGAAGAAACTGATCAATAAATGCTAGCTACTATTACATGCCAGGCATTGTACATACATCATCTCTTTTAATCTTCACATACACCCTGTGAATGATGTCTTAGTTTGAGTTTCCCCAAAAGCAGACCCTGAGACAAGGATTTGAGTATAAGTAGTTTTACTTAAGAGTTGATCCCAAGAAACACCAGAAGATAAGTGGGCGAGTGAGACAGGGAAGACAAGGAGCCAATAATAGGTGGGTTATCAAGCCAGTTACTGCTGTGGGTGACTAGAGCTCAGCAGGATTTGCTGTGGGGCTCTGGGACATGATGCAGAATCTTCTCTCTTCTCAGAAAGTGAGGAAGCTGAGATATTTCTCCACCATATCGAAAGCTCTTCTGGGCATTAACTCTCCAGCATTTCTGGTTCTTCCTCTGTGCAGGTAGAGTGTGCTTTCACAATCTGGGAAAGAGCCCTCGGGCAGAGTCCCAGATGATCACAATGAGAGGCCTTGCAGAGGTAGAGGTGAGTGCCATGGAA